AAAAAAAAAAAAAATTCTGAAAGCTTCTAGAGAGAAAGAGCATGTCACCAACAAAGGAACAAGCACAGACTAACTTCACATTTCTCAATAGCAGCAATGATAGCAATTAAGACACCAGAGTCATGATTTTTAAAGTAACAAAGAAGAATATAGAATTTTTTATTTAGCCTAATTGTCATTCAAATGCAAGGGCATAAAAAATATTCTAAGAAAGAAAAAGGATCATATTAAATAAAATACACTTTTGGAGAAAGAACACAAGAAAATAAATCCAGAAAGTGCTGAAAGAAAAATGAGAAGGCTGACCACAAACCTTCATAAAATTGTTCATATCTTAAGAACAAAACACAGATGAAAGGAGTGGTGGGGTGAAAGAGAACGTACTTAAAAGGAGCCATCACTAAAATTCAAGAAATGTCAACGTTAACAGAGGTGTGGGCAGAGACCAAGGGATGACAGCGTGCTCAAATTCTAATCTTTTTAGGAGGAAAATAAACATAATTAAGAAGGCACTAACTGGTTAAAAACAAAAACTTCCCACCAAGAAAACACTAAGATAGATAAAAGGTTTCCCTCCCAAGTTTTATCAAACATTTAAAGGGAAAAACAATTTCAAATTGTGCCTAAGGCAACTTGACTGCTACAAACCCACCAGACACTCCTCATAAGGAAGGTTGGGCAATCTACTCCCATAGTGATACTGCCTCAGAAACCCAAGGAGGTGCACTATGAGTCGGGTCCGACTCAACGGCAAACAACAACAACATGTATTACACACCTAGTTTTGCTTTTCGTCTTTTCTCATAAAAGCAAAAATCAGATTTCTTTCAGTTAGTGAAAACAAGTACTAACGTAGGTCTTTCATAAAAGTGAAGTGGCATAAAGTGAACTTTTTAAAGTGGGGAATACCAGTACTTGACTTTCTGGAACTCAATTCTTTTCTCTGTATGATCAAGTTGAACTTCATGGTCACTCTAAAATCCTACTGAGCTCTAAAATTCAGACTCAAAGCACTGTAATATTTATGTTATTTAAAGAATCACTTATTTTTATATTTATGTGTGTAGTAAATAATTTTAAGGTTACTGAGTTATATGTTATATTCCACTAGGAAACTCAGATAAACCAAACCAAACCCAACCCAACCCACTGCCATCAAGTGGTTTCCTACTCACAGCAACCCTACAGGACAGAGTAGAACTGCCCCATAAGGTGTCCAAGCCTGTCAATATTTATGAAAGCAAATGGCTTCATCTTTTTCCTGTGGAGCACCCGGTGGGTTTGAACTGCCAACCTTTTGGTTAGCAGCCAAATGTCTGAGTCTATGAAACTCAAGAGAGTATCTTAAAATAACAGAATATATAAATCTGGGCCAAATCCCCAGGGAGGCAGTATAACACAGTGGCTAAAAGCTTCGGCTCTGGAACTTCACTGCCCGGGTATATACACAACTCCATCACTTTCTGTGTGATGTAAGCAAGTCACATAAATTCTTTTCGCCTTCATTTCCTCAACTGGGAAATGGGTTATAAGATTATCTTTTGCATAGGATGGTTAGAAGAATTAAAGATTTCTAGAAAAAAGTAATTAATATAACATCTGACATACAGGACATACTCAACAAATTTATGCTACTTACACTGGATTCTGGTTAGACAAGGGAGAAATAGGTACCAATAGTTTTAAGAAAAAAACAGAGAAAACAAAAATTGAGGGGAAAAAAAGCTTGCCAATATATTTTATTATGTTCTGCAGTAGCAAAATCTGAGCTACTGAAGTAGAAAGATTAATAAAACTTCAAGCTTGCTTCTGTAACTAGTTGTTTGACCACGGGGTAACTTACCCTTTTATACGTTTCCTATTTTTTAAGCAGGATCCTGAACAGGTGAGAATTTAAAAAAATAATGTATATATGTAAAAAAAGTACTTGGAAATACAATAAGCACCAGCAGTAGTTAACCTTGTGTGTCAACTTGGCTGGGCCGTGGTTTCGAGTGGCTGGGCAGACGGATGTAGCTATTCCCCATGATGAGAGTGGTAATTTAACTCCATGGTGGAAGCTGCTGTGGGCAGCTTATCAGCTGCCTTTGGGATGTAGCCTGTTGTCAGAATGAAAGCAGAAGCTTTGAGAAAGGTCTCTAGCTTTTGGCATACCTGGATCCTGCATTTGGCCAAGTCTTTATTTCAGTGTCTTGCCATGCTGCCTTATGATCGTGGGGTTTTTCTTGAACTAATGGCCTGCTGTGCTGTCTGCTAATCTTGGGACTGTGTCATTTCACTTGTCAATCTAAGGTTTTTGTCAATCTCAGCAGCCAACAGCTGTGTGAGTCAGAAAAAGCCTCCAGCGCTAGTGGGCCTGAAACAGGAAGCAAAGCTGAAGCCCAAGGTCAAGGGGTTTTCATCCAGTCCCTAGAGTTGGCACTTTGAACTTGGACCTCTAGCCTCCTAAACTGTAAGAGAAATAAAACCCTGTTTGTTAAAGCCATCCATCTGTGGTATTTCTGTTATAGCAGCATTAGAGAACCAAAACAGCACCATATAAACACAAGGTGCTTAGTTAAGTCTATTAAAAATCTACCTGGTAATATCTATTCTTATTAAATCATTTCAAATAATTATAAAAAGTTAAAATGACTTTGTCAAGACTTTTTTTTTTTTTTCTACTGAAACATTCTTGGACCTACATAGCATAGTTGACAGTGAAAATTGAAGGCTAAACAATTTACCATAAGTTTTTTTTTTTAATCTAGTAAGCTCCCTGTTTTGTTGTCGTCAAGTGCCATTGAGTCGTCTCCAACTCATAGTGACCCTACGCACAGAACAAAACACTGCCTGGTCCCAGTGCCAGTCTTACTATCCTTGCTATACCTGAGCCCATCGTTGCAGCCACTGCGTCAATCCGTCTCATTAAGGGCCTTCCTCTTCTTCACTGACCCACCACTTTACCAAGTATGACATCCTTCTCCAGGGAATGGTATTCCTGACAATATGACCAAAGTAGGTGAGACGAAGTCTGGGCATTCTTGCTTCTAGGGAGCATTCTGGCTGCACTTCTTCCAGGACAGATGTGTTAGTTTTTTTAACAATCCATGGTACTCTCAGCATTCTTCTCCAGCACCACAACTCAAAAGCATCACCTCTTCTTTGGTCTTCCTTATTCATTGTCCAGCTCCTACTCATTGTAAGCTCACTAGCTGGAATTATTAAGCCAAACAATCCATTGCCAAACTAATGAATGAGTCATCATCTAAAAGGCAGAAACTGTTTAATCTACAGCACAATTCTTCATTGTTTTTTCCATTAAAATTTATATATTTTACCTCCATAATTATCAAGAAACTTCCTTACACATTTTTAGAGAATGAGGATTAACATAAAATTATTTCTTTATACACACCTACTCTGCTCTTAGAGGCGCTCTCATAGTGCAGTGGGTAAAGCATTCAGCTGCTAACCAAAATGCGGTTCAAGCCCACTAGCTGCTCTGCAGGAGAAAGATGAGGCAGTTTGCTTGCCTGAAGACTGACAGCCTTGGAAACCCTATGAGGCAGTTCTACTTTGTCCTATAGGGCAGCTGAGTCAGAATCTACTCAATGGCAACGGGGTTTTACTCTGCTTTAGTTTTAGCACCAAGATATAAAAACCAACACTTGGAATTACCTTACCTGTTTCATCGCTTGCTTCTTAGCAGCTTCCCTCTGAAGGCTTTCACTCACAGAGGTCTGTAAAACAGAAAAAACAGTCATTGCTTCAGCCCATTTAAAAATCTCTTCTTCAGTATTCAAGTTGGCAACCGGATCTTTAGTGACAGATAAAAGTATTTAGTATTAGGAATTATATTAACATTTTCAAGGTCTTTCCTTTACACTTCAGGAAACCAATTTTCACTGTAAATTATCAGAGCTGTCTAAGTTGTAAGAGAAAATATAATAGTACAGGAAAGGATGATACATGGGTTTTTAGCTTGAACTTTACCACTAAGTCATTCAATTTCTCTGGATTTCAATTTCTTTTGTGTACAAATGTGAAACAGGGTGAACTGGACTAGACTGTATTTCAGGTCCTTTCCAACACTAAAATGGTATGACTCTCAGCAACAAAAAAACACATTGTTTTCATATTCATCATTGAATATAGTATACCAAATTTAATAGTGTATGCTTACAGGCTGTTGTTGTTCTTGGGTGCCATCATCTTGATTCCGATTCATAATGACCCCACGTGACAGGAAGAAATTCCCCATAGAGTTTTCCTGGCTGTAAAAGTTATGGAAGCAGACTGCCAGGTCTTTTTCCCTAGGAGCCACTGGGTGGGTTTGAACTGCCAACCTTTCACTTAGCAGTTGCGCATTTAACTGTTGCACCACCACGGCTCTTTCTTTACAGCTTAGGGGCAGCCAAAATGATCTGTGGCTATAATCATTCAACATATTAATGCTGAAAGCCTACCACATGAGGCATTTGCTAGGTCCTTAAGATAGTGAAAAAACAGTCTTTATCCTTGAGAGATAAAATGTTCAAGGGAAGACAATAACGAAATAAATAATTACAATATAAATGTGATAAGCAATGTAAAAAAGGGATAAACAAAGAACTGTGGGAACACAAAGAAGGCAACTAAATGTGGGAGTAATCAAGAAAGCCTTCCCAAAAGATACAGTAGCTCTGAGTTTAAATAATAATAATTAATTTAAAAGGATATTTAGAAGTACTAGTAACCATAAGGACTAAAGTTTTATAGCTAAGGAAAAAGTACAATAGGTTAAAAAAAGTTTCCTTAAAGGTATAAAGCTTTGTAAACATATAAAAACCACTGAATTGTACAGTTTAAAAGGGTGAACTTTATGTCATGTTAACTGTATCTCCAAAAAAAAAAAAAAGACTACTGATGAATTTCTTTTTAATTAAAAGTATAATCCTCTACTCTGATACTACAAAGTTCTCTAGTCTACTGACATTTTTTTCCAGTTGTATACCACCAATCAGTGTGGTTCCTTTATTTTTCATAGCAGTAAACAGAACAAAAATACACAAGTCTAATTCTAGCTCCCTACAAACTATATCTCAGTTGTTAAGTCTTCTTCCAATCTTGATGCCATGTTCTTCATATAGTCCAGCTTCTCAGATTATTTACTCAGCATACAGATTGAGTAAGTATGGTAAAAGGATACAACCCTGAAATACAACTTTCCTGTTTTTAAACCATGCAGCATCCCCCTCGATCTGTTCAAACTGCCTCTTGGTCTAGGTACAGGTTTCCTCACACAATTAAAGAGTTTTAGAATTCCCATTCTTCACAATGTTATCCGTAATTTGTTACAATCCACACAGTTGAATGCCTCTGTATAGTCAATAAAACACAGGTAAACATCTTTCTGTATTCTTCAATTTCAGTCAAGATCCTTCTGACAGCAGCAATTCATACCTCGTTATGTTAATGGGGAGGAACAACTCACAAAAGGAGGGTGAGAACAGTTACGCAACTTGAAAAAGGTACTCAATGTCACTAAATGGTACATGTAGAACTTGCACTGGTGTTATGTTTTCCTGCATATAGTCTCAACAACAAAATAAAATTATATTTTAAAAAATTAAATGCTTAAAATAACTCTCAAATCCTGAACTTAATTTCTTAAATTACTGTCCCAAGGGCTGTTCACTTTGGCAATGCAAATCTGTCCCATATGGTCATTCAGAAACTTAAGCTTGTTTCAGCTTGTTACCCTGCCATTTCCTTAGGGTATTAAATAAGAATTTTAAGCTATTGAGGTAGAAGTACACGTAATACTTTTGCCCATATTTGACTGACAAAATTAGTCACATGGTCTGAAGTATGATAAATTTGGAAATGTAATCTCTAACTGGGCAGCTGTGTGCCCAGCTTTAAACTGTTACTATGGAAGGAAATACATTTTGGTAGATTTTTAGTATAGGGACCACAGATTCTCACCGAAGGAACCACAAACAGATTTCCAATGTCTAAAATCAACAACGGGTCAATGCCAAAAAACATGTAAGGAATTTAAAAATCATTAAAATGAGAGAGAGAGAAGAAACACAGTACAAAATGGAGCAATGGATATGAATACAAAATTTATAGAAAGGTAATAAGGAATGTCTATCAGTATATGAAGAAATACTCAACTTTATTAATAACAATCAGAGAAGCACAAATTAAAATAACTAAGAATGGAAAAAAAATTATAGAAGGTAGAGAAAACAGTGACCACCAATGGAAATATAAACTGGTACAGCCATTCTAGAACACAATCTGCCCGTACTTAGTGAAGTAATGTATATACTCCATGATCCCGAAATTCTACTTCTGGATATGTATCTCCAAAGAAACTCTCACACAGGCTTATATTAGGACATATCTGAGGATTGTTTTTTACAGCACTAATTGTGGTAGCAGGGAACCAAAAGTAATTGGTCTAGAATGAGATAGGTAAAATACAGTGATACAGTACAGTGTACTGTATACAGTGTACTGAGTAGACATACATATTGCAATGTAACATTGAGTAAAAAAAACAAGGTCTGTAATACAATGATGTTTACATATGTAAAAATAAATACATGCACTCAAAACACAATATAATTTTAAGGGATATCTACATATTCAAGCACATATATTAAACATACCAGAGTATATTAAAGAGGAATGAGAGAAGATCAGGGATGAAGAAAATAAATAAATAAAATGAGAAGAATCTTGCACCACCTGATGACCAGAGTTTGACTAACAACTCTCTGTATTGTTACAGAAAGTTTACTACATATATAACCATTCTTGCCATTGTCAAAGAGATGGTACAGTTTCAAAAAATAGATATACATTACATGAATAAAATTGATGAAGAATACAGCTCTGAAATAAAGATCTTACCTGTTTTGTGTGAAAATTTCTCTGATGAAACCACACAGGTGAATGTAAAAAGAATGGTAATTCTGGGCTGCTTGTAAGAAAATAGTATCATTCGATATAAATTGAAGTATACAGATGAAAGGGAAAATAACCTCTTAGAACATGGTTCTTAACAACCCATGTTATATCAGCCAAAAACAGTGGTGATGGTTGTGTGCTATCAAGTCAATTCTGACTCACAGTGACCCTATAATAGAACCGCCCTAAAGGGTTTCCCAGGGCAAAATCTTTATGGGAGCAGATTGCCAGTTTTTTTTCTCCCTTAAGTCACTAGTGAGTTCACACTACAAACCTTTCAGTAAGCAGCGTTACCCAGTGGGACAACAGGGCTCCTTAAAAATAGTAAAAGTTTTTGAAAACAAATATTTTATCAACTTTAATGAAAACATATGTACTAGAATAAACACGACACCTCTTCACTTTAAATTACTGCTTAATTCATCAATGAAAGGAAAATTCTGTAAGTTTATTTCACTTAGAAACACAGACTTATTCCAAAGAAACATCACTGACCATGCTGGTAACAACTAGCAAGAGACAAAGGTCTTGATAATTATTCGTACACATGCCAATTTTAATGAAATATACTTGCTAATATATATATCCCCTCCCCACCCCCCAAGACAAGCAATAGTTTGGCACAAGCATAATCACAAAGACCAAGTCAGGTGTACAGCATCCCCAGTACAGACTTTATTAGAGTTCAGTTAAAAATACACAATGTCTTGACACTGAAGATGTAGTTCCTGCAGATAAAGTCCAAAGCAGGAAATGAATCTCCTCCCAAATGCTGCTTCTTATCTTTAAAGTAACCTCAAATTATTACTAAACTAATAAAGTAATTTTGTTTCAGAAAGTGATGTGATCTATTTTATTTTCAGCTTTTGATAAATCCATGAGCAAGATGAAGGATTATTGCTTTTTGTCTGACTACACTACAGAAACACAACATGAAAATAAAGAAAAAACTTTTAAAAATAATTTTTATGGTAAAGGTGGAACAGGCAGTACCAAAGCCTGTTAATATGTGAAGAGATATTGGTGGTTTTGGACAAGTGCTAATTTTGTTATCTAACTTAGCAAATTTGAAAGTAAAGCTTTTATTATCTTCTAATTACAAACTATCAGTTAAAAAGGATGAGTGAAAGGGTGCAATGAAATTGTATACAGATTAAATAACTTAAATAATATAATCATGGATTACAGAATTATTTATGTAATTTTTCTAATATGTAGTTCTTAGCTAATGACCACAACCCAAACTGGAGATCAAGATGTTATAAAAAGGTCACAAAAAAGGCAATGGAATATGACTTTCAAACACAAAGTGAGATGGAGACAGCAGAGGAAGTTTTCAGATGACTAATGATCAATAAAGAAAGTATTATCACATTATAGCAGCATAGCTATCATTTACTGAAATTTCTACTACATGCTAGGCATTTAAGATATACTACCTCTAAACCTTATAATAAACTTTTAGTAGCTAATATTACAGAACAAATTACTTATTTATTTTATTTTAATGTGGCAACTGAGGCTAAGAGAGATGAAGCAATTTGCTCAAGATCTTAAAGCTAAGGAAAGCAATGTAAAGTTTCCGGTTCAGAGACGACAAGTTAATACATGCTGCAGCCATCTCGCTCACTAATCAAAACTCTTGGAACATAATCATACTAGAAAACAAGATGGTGTAACCTCAGAAACTTTGAGAAATTCCCCAAAAAACAGAAGGCTAGAAATCAAACTGCAGACAGAAGTGGACTGGTAGAAAAGGTGGAAATTGGGTCCAAGA